GAAATCGAAACCTAACAGAAAAAATTAAAATAAAAAATAACAAAAATATGCCAAATCCAAAAAATATATATATATATTTTAAGCAAAAAGCCAAAATTGTAAAAAAAAAATACCGAAAAAAAAAACATACCAAAAAATTTTGTTTTTCACCAAAAAGCCAAAATTGAAAAAAAAAAAAAAAAGAAAGAAAAAAAACGGAAATAATGCCAAATCCCAACCCAAATTAAAAAATAAAAAAAATGGAAAAGGGCAATTTGGTCTTTTAACAAGATGACACCTCACCAAAAAGCCAAAAAAGCCAAAAAGCCCTTCCCAAACCAGGCTTTTTAGCCCTAGGCTAAAATAGCCAAAAAGCCAACCCACTTCCCAAACGGGGGCTTAGTATGTTTGGAATGACTTTTTAATTTTTTATGAAAAGATGTGCAAAAATAAAAAGGTAGGGAGAAAATAGAATCTTTGACTTTTTGGTATATGTTATAGGCTTTTTGATTTTTTTAATAATTTTTGACTTTTAGGATGGCATCCAAAACTTTAGTACCGGGCACTATTTGGCATAAATTAAACTAGCACATCAGCCGTGCTATGCACGGGTTGTGTTTCACCACTTTGTCTTCTTTTTTTTTTTTTTTTCACATTTTGATACTAATCATATGTGTTGAACTTTTCAAGAAATTTTTTTTCATGCTTGTTCTTAATGTATTAAAATATTATTATGAGGGATAATAATCATGTGTTGGATTTTTCAAGAAATTTATATGTACTTCACAATTATTTTTATATATGTGAATTGTGATTTTTAAATGTCTTTTTTTTAAATGTCTTTTTTTATATTATATTAAAGTGTAATATTTTGATAATAATCATACGTGTTGGACTTTCAAGAAATTCATATGTGTTGGACTTTTCAAGGAATTTTTTTTTATGATTGTTCTTAATGTATTAAAGTGTTATTATGATGGATAATAATCGTGTGTGTTGGGACTTTTCAAGGAATTTATATGTGTTGGACCTTAAAAAAAAAAATTTATACTTGGGCGTTGGGAAAAATTAATAAATGCTAAGGTTTTTTTTTTAAAATAAAAAATCAGGATTAGATTGGGATATTGGAGCTCCCACAAGACTTGGGGCGTTAGAAACCGTATTTTTCTTAATATATATATAGATAGATAGATAAATATATCTTTTTATTTTTATTTTTATTTTTGTGTGGTTTCTATTTGGGTATTTTTTTTTCAATTTATTTAAGATGGAGTTGTGGGTATCTTTTTTTTTAAAATTTAATTTATTTGTGGTTTCCATTTGTTTTTAATTATTATTATTTAGGTAAGTTATGATGTGAGTTAGATATGCGATAGACATGTGAGTTTTATTGATTTAAAGTTTATTTAGATAAACTTTAAAGATTTTTTTTTTTAGTTTTTTAGTTTTTTTTGTTATGTTATAATATAATATATAAAATGTAGGTAGATATCTACAACTTTAATAGAAAATATTATCTGATTTTTTGGGGAAGAGAAAAATAATGCAAGTTTTAATTTTTTTTTTTGAAAATTTGTGAGAGAGATTAGGAGGGAGAGATTATGAAATATTTTTGTTATTAAATAAATAAATCAGTCAATAGTTTTTTTTAATCTATTTTGTAAATTAAAAATCGATAATTTTGGAAAATTGATTAATTTTTTCCATTAAGTGATTTAAAATTTTGATAGACATACATAAAAAAATACATAATTATATTATTAAATCATAGTTCAAATTTAGATGTTATATTGTTTTGAGATTTATAACTAAATTCTTATCTTTTTATTTTTATTTTTGTATGTAACCATAGTGTATAGGAGAAATTGAAAAGGGTGTTGTAATAATTATGAGAGAAGTCAAAAGGGATTGTGGGTTGGGAGATGTCAACAAATGCTGAGGTTGGGTTGGGAGAAGTCAATAAATGCTGAGGTTTTTTTTTTTTTTAAATCAAAAAATTAGAAAATTAGGATTAAGAGATTGGAGCTCCCACAGGCCTTGGGGTTAAAAACCCCTTTTGCTTAATATATAGTATAGATAAGGAAAATATTATAGGTCTCAAATTTTTTACCAAAGGAATGATCAAATATCTCACATGCGTGTGGGGTGGTTATCCCTAGCATTACTCATTAAATAAGTACATTTATTTAGATAAGTACATTTATTTGGATCATATCACCTCTTTATTTTTTTATACATATTTTCATAAAAAATAAAAAAAAATATTTATTTAGGTTATCTCAAACACCTCCTTAAATTTGATTTCCATATCATTAGTGTAATATTATATGCCAAACCCTATTTGGTAAAACTTATTTTGTGTTTTTTAAGTTTAAATTATATATTTCTTGAGCTTGTTAATAACGTATTGATCAGTATATCATTTTTTGGTTTTGGTAAAGGTATTAATAATTTATTTACTTTTTCAGTTCAAAAATTCAAAGCCTGTGTTTGGCAAGTGGGTTTGCAGGTTTTTTTTGGCTATTTTAGCGACAAAAAACAAAATAGGCTATTTTAGCCATAACAAACAAAACATCACATCCAACCCATAATCATTACATTCTTCTCTCACAAAAAAACTCAAAAAAGCCAAAAAGCCCTTCTCAAACCAAGCTTTTCCCAAACCAAGCTTTTAAGCCCAGGCTAAAATAGCCAAAAAAGCTAAAAAGCCAAAAAGCCAACCCACTTCCCAAACGGAGGCAAAATAAGCTTTGGAATGTGCTCTTTTTAAGCATCAAAAGGTTTGCCAAATGAAATCAAAATAATGATTTTTTTGATCAATAATGACACAATAATTAATTCGAAATGTTACATTTAACTTTTTTTTTAGCTGAATGGATATTAAGCCCAGGCTAAAATAGTCAAAAAAGCCAAAAAGCCAACCCACTTTCCAAACGGAGGCAAAATAAGCTTTGGAATGTGCTCTTTTTAAGCATCAAAAGGTTTGCCAAATGAAATCAAAATAATGATTTTTTTGATCAATAATGACACAATAATTAATTCGAAATGTTACATTTAACTTTTTTTTAGCTGAATGGATAATTTAGTCATGTTATACATTTTGAGTCAGAAATTCCACGGAATACATTTTGGCAAAGGTCATATTTGCCACAACACCTACCTACATAAATTAGGGTGGGTTTGACGTTAACTTCTTTTTTTTTTTTTTTGTGATTTTTAATTTTTTGACTTTTTGATTTTTTTGGAAGTTAAAAAAAATTAATTTGTTTAAAAATTTTCTAAAATGATTTTTTTTTTGTTTTTTTTTTTGTGAGTGAAAATTTTGATATGACATTTAATTTTTTTAACTAATGAAAATAAAATAATGACTTTTTAACTTCTTTTTTTTTTTATAGTGAAAGTTAATTTTTTTTACATTATCCCAAACGCCCACTTAAATTTGAAAAAAAAAACAACAATTGAAATTACCCGAAACTACATATGACTAATGAACAATGACTAAATTATCCAAAACTAACTTTTTTTTTTTTTTTTGATAACTCAGGTATCCCCAACTCTCCGATTTTTAGGAAGCCAAGACTAATCCTGAGGGGTATTTAGCCGGTGGGAAGCCGGACACCCTTGCACAAACTGCTGCAGGCACTCACCCAGTGGGGAATTGAACCTGGAACGTGCGCCTTATCTACACAACCCAGGCAACGCCCTAACCATTGGGGCAACCTGCCCCACCTAAACCAACTTGATCTCATCTGTTGATGGATGTGCTTAATGATTGAGCTATTTGAAATCTACAACGGCTTCTGAAAAGGGCAAAAAAACAAAGCTATAGAAAAAGAAATGTTAAGTGCATGACCAAAGGGAAAAAAACAAAACACTTTTTTTACCAAAATAATTACCAAAATAAGTGGAATTATTCAAGCAACACTGACGTTGTATTATTAAAATAATTTTTTTTTATATTTTTAATCTTTTTATTTCTTTTATTTTTACAAGGATAAAATTAATATTATGAAAATATTAGTTTCTTTTCTCTCCCAATCTCTTTATTTTTGGAAAGATTGAAAATAAAAGTTATAAGATAAGTTTCTCTTCGTTTCTTCCATTTATTCTCATTTCTCTCTACGTAAGTTATTCAAACGAGTAAAAGAAATACGTATCTCTCCATTTCTTTTTTCTTTTTTTTTTCAAATCACTCAATCCAGACATAACGGGAGGAGGTTTGATCTGCGTTGATGTTTTCAAAGTCATCACTGAAACAAGGACCTTCAAGAAGGAAGAGATGGTGTCCTCCGATTGATCGGTCAATCGGTGGTTGCAGGTGTTAAGGATTGTGGTGTTTGTTTTCAACCAACTGAACACCGATGTTAATCACCGCCTGGATAAATTGTAATAAAAAATTATTTACAGGGCAATTTGGAAATAGAGAGTAGATTCAGAGGGCATTTCTGGAAACTGAAGTGTGAGACTCATCAATTGAGTTTTGCCACTTTTACATATGTTTATAGATTTATAGATTTATCGATATACATTATGATGCATAAATAACTTCAATAAGCTTAAATAATTTGACCATCAAGAAATGGAGAGAGAAGTGTTTTTAACTTCTGCTACTTTCAACTTGTTAAAAGCATAACTAAACAGGCTCGTTGTGTTTCAAGTAAATTTATTTATTTATTTATTTATTTTCATTAGTGCTTAGGATTTTATTCGACTAATTTTCTAGATACATGTAAACTCCCACCTCATATGTGCCTGATAATTATCTAAGGGGTAATTTCTGTTACCCAAAAGGCAACTTAACGGATGATTATCACAATTTTATCAGATAAATATCACATTAAATAGGAAACAAAGAGATTTAGGGAAGAGAATGTAGACAAGATTTATAGTGGTTTGGCTTCAACCAAGCCTATGTCCACTCCTCAAGCTTCACTTGAGATTTTTCATTATTCTTCTAGCTTCATAAGGGTACTAGAAACCTCTCACAGATTGAGCAATCATTCACAAATTTACACAAACTGTTCAAGTCTTCAGAACCTTGCATACCTTAGGTGATTCTCAATCTCTCAAGGAATCAAGAAAGATGAGTGTACTACACTCTTATAATATTGTGATGAAGGTTTTTGCTCTCCAAGAAAGCTATAAGGAAAATCTCTCACAGAAAAATATAAGATATTAAATCTTAGATTTTTCTGTAAAACCTCTCAAAGGTTGATAAGCATAAAGCTTAAGCTCGGTGTATGATTGCTGAAGAAAAATGGAACAAGAATGAAGAACTCTTCAGATTCTCAAAGAATAAAGAGTAGGAGATTGATGAAGAATGAGACCGATTTTCTAGCTCGTGGTTCTGCTTTCTGTTGTTTCTGCTCTTTACTGCAGAGCTTTGTATATAACAGAGTTCAATGCTTTGCTTTCTCTGACAAGCCCATCATCTTCTTCCCGTTGAGGAGATGGGATGATGATGGGTGAGATAATAAATAAAACTTTGTCAAGAGAATCTCTACTGCCCATGTGAGTTTTGCTCATTGAATGATGGATGAATGATACAAAATCATTCTTTTTCAGCTCTCAGCATCTGTCTGATTCAGTGAGCTCTGTGTAGTGTGGTCGTCCACCTGATGTCCAGAGTGAACATTTACATTGAGTGGTTGTTCCACCAGTTGTCCTCTTAGTCGTCCTCCCGGTCAACTAGTCAAGTCTCGATCGAGTAGGGTGATGGCCACTGTCGACAAGCTCTCTTTGTGTGCAAAACTGGACCAAAATGCACCACCGGTTGACCCCCCGGTCGACCGGACAACCAGCCGGTTGACCACCAACCTCCTTTGTTTGTTGCTTCTGCTACTGCTTTAGTTGCTTGGTTCATTGTCTGTTTAAGCTTTAATTTTGGTCTCCAATGAATGTAAATAAGATCAAGAGAGGGTAAATTATGATGAATAAATTAGATGATAAGATTTCAATTATAATCGACATTTTAAAATAAATCAAAAAAATATATTAATAATCATCAAAATTCATTATTTCTAACAATCTCTCTTTTTTTTATGATGGCACTCAAGTATGTTTTGATTTGTTTGGAGTGAAGAAAAACTCCATCTCAAGTCATGCTCTCCCTGAATGATTGCTTATTCTAAATAGATAAAACATGTTAGCACAATAGCAATTAATATCAATAACCTGTAAGACATGATTATCAATAAGCATAGCATGATAATTTAGGAAAAACATGAGTAAAGCAAACTAAGATAGTTAGGATAATTTAAAGTTTGCAAAGGTTAAGATACCAAAACAACTAACTAGAAAGATTAAAATAAAAATAGAGCCAATGTGTCCATGTCTCTCCCCCTGAGGAAAACATCCTACTCTTTTTCTCCCCCTCTAACATTATCAAAATCAAAGAGGGTGAAAAATATAGGTGAAAAGGTTGGCACTACTTAGAATCAGGTGGTGGTGGAGGGAAGTAGTACTGATAAATAGCATCCACTCGGTGCTCAATATGATCAATGCGGGTGTTCAGTTCTTGATGTCGATGGTTATTGTCCATCCAAAAGTCACCAAACAGTTGAATCAAAGAATTTTGAGCATTTCCGAATTCAGCCATTTGAGTGGCCATTTGCTGTTCCCATTGAAGTCTTTGATTGTACCGTTCTTGTTCCATGGCCATAAAATCAGTCCAAAAAGCAGGCGGCTGAGGTGGTGGCATGGCATCCTGATGATGTTCTTCAGGATCCTCCATTGGTGCATCCGGAGCATTTAGACTATTAAGTAATACATCACCGCCTCCAGCTCGGTTGAGTGTATATTCTGAAATATCAGAATCTACTTTTGATTCCGCCTCACCCAAAAATTTGATTTTAAAGTGCTTTAGAATGTGGGTCAGAAGTGCTCCAAAAGCTAATGATTTTCCCCGAGTGATAGAGACAAGATCCATTTCTCTCATAATTATAAAGCTCAAATCCACACTCTGTTCAACTTCAAAACAATAAAGCAGGTAAGCGTTAAAAGTTGGAACAGCATCATAGTGACCGGCCTTGGGAGTGACATTCTCTAATAAAAATCGATGGAGAATGCGAAGATGAGGTTTTAGGTGTTTGGCATGTAAATTGGAACCAGTCACTTTGTCAATGCAAATAGTGGAATAAACCTTAGAAATATCACCAACCACTTGAGCCATTTGAGCATCAGTTTGGAAATAAATTTTATTTTCACTTTGCTTAACTCCAAGAATTTGTGCCAAAGTTGGGATGTTAAATTCAATATGTTTTCCTTTAACATATGATATAACAGTGTAGTCTTCCTCTTCTTCATTCGTATGTTTGAAATGTAGATAGAAGAGAGACACGAGACGTGGATATACCTTCTGAGGCAAATTTACCAAATTTTGCCATCCCATGGCTGCAAGCTTATTGACCAACAGAGCATCATATTTTGGGGCAAGATTTACTCTTCTACCTGAAATGATAGACCTGCTGAGCATGGCGGGAAAAGCTTTTTCATGAGCCAAGGACAGGAACTTAGTTGTGGGATATTCTTGTTGAGGGTTTGAGGATTGTCCCGTTTCTCTTGCTCTAGGTTTCTTGGTTCTAGAAGCCATGGCCTTTTTCTATAAATTAAACCATGGAAATAACAAGCAATGGGAAGCTTAGTATACCTCAGATAAACAAACAAGAAATCAAGTTATGTAATAATTTCTAAATTTTGCTAATGTGGATAGAAAAATATACATAACAGGAATTATGAGGGTGAAACAATATTCAGCAAAGGTTTATCAACAGGTTGAAAATTTGTAAGAACCTAAACCAATCAATATTGTAGTACTTAAATCTAGAATGTCAAATGATGGTAAATGCTAAACAGTTTAAGCATCAAAAAATTTAGAATGAATAATTTCTAGTAATGAAATAAAGTGAGGATTGGAATTTTATTTAGCAATTCTTCTACTGGTCTATTGATTTTTAGGCGAAGTTTTGATGTTTAACAGCAAACAATGAAGATCCCTAACATGGAGGTTCAATCAAGAGCACAGATCAATGGTGATAATCTTAAGCATGAAAAATTCATGTTATTTTAAGCAATCAACTCAATGAACAAGTATGAATATTAGTGATATGCGAGTATTATTCAACAGTTAGAACATGGACATACTCTGATATAATCCCTAAGGCAAACTCATGTATTCAAGCAAAGATGGGAATGAAATGCAGTGAAATTTACCTGATATTCACAAGAATGTGATTCGAAAGAGGGATTTGAGAGTTTTGGGTTTGAGGGCTTTGAGAGTTGAAGATATAGAAAGGGGCAGAGATAGGGTCGAGAGACAGTCGAAGAGAGGGCTTTAAAAGAGGCTGAAATCTGCCCAGGTGACTCACAGGTTGGCCGCCCGGTTGTCCCCCCGGACGACCGGTTGAGGTCCGGCTGTCTGTTTTGGTGCTGAACTGCCTGTTCTGCTTATTCGTTAACTCAAAGACAATGTGCAAGAGTTTGTGTGGTGATGGATTTGAAGACTTCAAGTTATGAAATAGAGATTCAACATATAATTTACCATTCAAACAAACTGAATGTACAGGCATAACAATGGAGTTAAGTGGGTGGATGAAGTGACTGTGGTAGGTGGGAGTTCAGAGTTAGGAAGAAAAAATTATGTGCCCAGTTTGTTTTTTTGAGGTAAAATAAAGGAGATTTATATGAAATTATTAATAAAAGAATTAATTAAAATTGTATTTATTTTGATAATAATTGTTAGCGTAGGGATTGTTAAATTATTTTTATATAAAATAATAAAACAAATAAAAAATACAAAAATATTAAATATTAATTTTTTAAAAAATGCTCAACATGTAAAAAATTTTAAAAAAATAAATAAAAAATAAAAAAATTTCCAAAAAAAATAAAACAAATAAAATAATGATTTTTACTTAACAAAAAATACAAAAAAATAAACATTAATATTAAAAAAAATGCCGAACATGTAAAAAATAAAATAAAAAAAATAAAAAATTTCTAGTCTGGCAGACTATTTTTCTAATATCAAGTCTTGGAGACCCATCTGAATCCCCTCCCCAACTATCAATCCCCTCCTCATCTCTCAAAATAAAGACAATGTTAGTGGATCCACCTTACTACCAATCCCGATCTCCTTCTAACTCTCCAAACAAACGGGGCCCGAAACTACAATGAATAGCTACAAGTCCAAGCAAGTTGAAAACAAGTTACATAAGAGAATTACTCAGTAGAAAAATAAATGAAGATTATATTTTTTTTTTAAAATGTGAGTGATTTTTTGATAGCATTCAAGTGATTTGAATATTTCCACATTAATATAACAGTACACATACCTCAAATTTTGTAAAAATTTAGTTTCACACTCACAACAGAACTAATAGATGGAATTTGACATTCCAAGTTTGCCAAAATTGGGCGACGAGTTCGGTTGATCATGATGTTTTGACTTTTGTAAATTTTGTAAAGGATTTGATTAATTAGTTTTGTTTGGGCCCGACGTGGAGCAGATTTATTTTTTCTTTGTATTTCTTGCGTCGCTTTGATACTCTTCTAATAAAGTTTGATTATTTATCAAAAATAAAAAATAAAAACAAGATGACAAAAGGAAAAATAAATATATTACAATGTGCAAAGCTCGCACCCAAAAGGAGGGAAAATAATCAAAGGAGAAAGACAAAAAACACTAATGCTGTGTTTGGTTGGGGTTTTTGGGGTGGGATTTGGAAAAGGAATGAGAAATGTAATCCTATTTATGTTTGGTTATAATAAAAAATATATGGGAAAAGAAAGGGGGTGAGAAATAAATAAAGAAATAGGAGACCTTTTAGGACATCAATTCTATTTTATAACCAACACAACCAAACATAGTTGGGATTTGGAATTCTATTATTTCTTTCTCCTTTTCCTTTCATTTCCATTTCCCTTTCCATTTTCCTTCTCAAATCTTCTAACCAAACACAGCGTAAAGACAAAAAAAATCAAATTGGAAAAAGAGAACGACCTTACTCAAAGGTGCAATTTTTTGGGGCCAAATGTCCTTTGGTTCCTATTTGCAAACAAAACATGTAGAGGTGTAAATAATTAATCAATGTTGGCTGAGGATTAGTAAACTTGTCAAGGATTAATAGCAAATTTAACACTACAAGATAATTTACACTTAAGTAATGTCAATACTGACATATTTTTTGTTTATGGAAATCGCCAAGAGGCTTGGGCTTTGTTTGGTTTGTCTCTTGAGAGACAATTTTTGAAATAAAAATCCAAAATCATTTCTCTTCATTACACATCAATCAATATTTTTTCTCTCTCCTCTCTCTTTCTCTCATATGGTATATAGCGATCAATCACTTTTTCTTTTACATCCATCTATTCAATTGCAAAAAAAAAAAAAAATAATAAATCATCCCAAACTTTAAAACTATTTTCAAAACATATAACCAAACAAATTTTTAAATTTTTTTTAACTCTTTCCAGAACATTATTTTTCAAAATTGTTTCACAAAAACAAACCAAACGTTGCCTGATCTCTTAGAGTTGGATTGCTTCTTTTGGGCAACATATGCCGGTACGTATATACTTCCATCTTAAGTGTTCATAACACCATTCGAACAACAATAAGTGGCTTTCATAAACAAATCAACAATTTCAAACATAGTTACAAGATAAAGAAATTCGGTAAGTGAACATCATCAATCAAGACAATAGTAAAACCTCTAAAAGATTTTAAATGCTAAAACTAAATGCTACAAGTATAAAGGGAAAAAAGGGGATTTTATACTTTACATCATGGAAATTACTAGAGAATATAGTATTGTTATCTATTGTTTGATTTCTTTGTAAGTGTTCTATAAATATACAACCGCTTCACCACATATATCCCCCTTAATATTTAGCAATATTATATACCACTCATTGAAGATGTCTTGAAGTGAATACACAGAGAGAGATATGTAAGCCCTACTACACCAACACATTCATGGTCATATTATTATAATTCAAAACATTACATATTTAAATAGCGATATCATATGGAGGAAAAGTAAACCCATATTAATGACTCTAGATTACTTTTAAACGATGCTGAGAACGGGAAATAACTCACACAATGAGCCTCTAAGAATTCTATCACTACCTAATGGGTTATGCCTACAAAACTGGTAAACCTCAGTTTAATATTTTTGTCCCTAAGGCAGTAGCTCATTCAAGCCAAGATAGCATTTCAAATACCAAAACCCAATTTGGCATCTTCCTTAAATCAGATATTAGAAAACATTGACTGAAATCATTTTTGGTTTTACTAACAGCAGAAACATATTAGGCAAGCATTTTGGTCCCCGCTTTCTAAAACCTAATTATGGTTAGATTAAAGTCCAAATCAGCAAAACATGCTGTGCGTACCAAATCCGCACTAGATGATTGTGGATTGGAGCTCCGCACTTGATTGGACTATCCAGGAATCGAAACCCTACAACAACAAGCACCGTTAGAACTGCCTGGCCGGGGTTGGCCAGATAACCCCTCCGGTGTGGGAGTAACTAATCGGAGAAGATGAGAGACACTCTCTAAGTGTAGAGAGTCATGTTTAGGTGAGTATGGTTCAGCTTAGGTCAGTTACCTTTAATGTGAAGTTAGTGTAGTTTATATAGAACTCCTTACTTGTTGCCTAAGATGATTTCATGGAGCTCTAGTGTTGCCAAGTTTACTTTAGCATTGCTTGAGGTGAGGGACCATCTGGTAGTTGACAAGGGGTCTATACACTCATTGTAACCATGCTTGTAACAGATTACATTCCTTCTATCAATTGTTTTTGTGATTCTAGGGGGAGGGGACCAGCTGAGCTGACATCCTCCATGTGCATGCATTCACAGCTTCCACGTTTATCTAGCAGACCTCTTTAGCTCGGTACCGTCGTAACTCAGCTCGGCCCTCTATGAGATTGCTTGTAGAGATGGGCTGACCCAGTAGGATATCTTTTTGTGGGTTCGGCCCGTTTTGGGTTCGGTCCAAGGATTAGATCCCGCAACTTGGCCCAGCCCAGCATCGTAGCTGGACTGACCTTTCCATTACAGGTTGGGCCCAAGTACTTGAGGACTTGGGTGGGTTGTTGATAATGTAATTGGGCTTATCTAACTGGCCCACTTCTTTACCCTGTCTCTCAGGACTTGAGTCTAATGGATTGGGCTGGCCCAAGGCTTGGATCCGACCCATTTTATATTTAGTCCCTTCACGTGCATAAGAATTCATTAGCCCAAAAAAAATGAAAAGAAAAATTGAAGAGAAGCAAAGAACACCATATACAGATTACATATATTGTGAAAAGCAAAATTTAGTAATGATTGATAAGAAACACACATCGAATTGAAATTTGAGATTTTCCAAGCAATCAAAAGAGTCAGTACATGCATAATCTCTTAAGGTTCAATCACATATATGATTGAATCTTGATATATACCCTAATCATTAGCTCATATATGCTCATTGAAGAGGTTGTAAAGTGAATTTACAGAGAAAAAGATATGAAGAGGCCCTACTAAACCCACACACTTGGGATCATACACTATTGAGTCTATGACTCAAAACATTAGAAGTACTTATTTCATATCTTATACCATTCACAGGAGGAAAAGTAAACTTGAGTCAGTGAGTGACTATCAAATTAATTTTGTATGAGGCTGTGAATGGAAAAACAACTCATACACAAATGTTCATCCAAGAATTCCACAAGTACCAACTGGGTCAAGCCTAATGCCCACTACTCACAAACCCTCAAGATGGCCAAGTCAAACAGTATCAACCCATGTATGTATGTGTCTTCCTGTTGGAATTTGGAAAACAATAAAGAAACTAGTTTTGGCTTGCTGAAACACAATCATAGCGAGTGAGAATCTTTAATCCCTGCTATCTAGGAGCAAATTATGGTGAGAATTAAAGTTCAAATCAACAAACATAGAACATTTCATCACTCAAAAATTAGATGTGATATTAATATTTATCAAAACCAATAGAGATATCAATAAGAAAAGTGAAACCCAGAAAAATAGATCTGATATAAATGATCATAGAAGATCCATATGCACATCATGAATTGAAAAAATTAATTGAAATCCTTGGATTACCTGCCCAGACCAAGGAGTCTCTATTTTTCTGTATATTTTTTTATAAAAAATTAAAAAATTATTAAAATAACATCTTTTAGGAGTGCACAACATAGGCTCTGTTTGGTTTAGTTTTTGAATTGAGTTTTAAGTTATGTTTTGAAAAGGGCAAATTACACTAACAGTCCCTGTAGTTTAGGACTCGTGTCACTTTGGTCTCTGACGTTTCAATTGTGACTCATTTGACCCTGAATTTTAAATCTTGTTTCAAATAAGGACAATTGAAGATATCATTACTCAATTTCAAGGGTAAATTCATCAATTTGATAAATATAAACTAATTTGACAAAAATAAATGACAAAATTTTTTTAAAAATTATTTCTACTCACCTAAGATAAAATTATGTAAAATTGATAAATCTTTTAAATATTTATTTATTCTACCAAAATTAATTTTTATTATATGTTTGGATGATGATCATGTAATGGGTAATTGATATATTTATATATGAAATGTTTTTAG